ATATATATATATATTAAAAGCATCATTCAGGTTGCTTATTGAAGTAAAAAGAAAATCTTACGCTTAGCGCTTTGAAAACATTAGTTATCAATTATTTTTATTATCTCTATTACTTAATCTGATTAATCTTAAGTGGCAGCAAAGTAGGTGGTGGAGAATGTGAAAACGGTAGCGGTGGTGTTGTGCAAATGGGTGTTGCAGCTTGCAGTTGATGGATGTGGGTTAGAAGGTGCTTGCGAACTGCACCAGATTACTTAAAAATGCAATCCATAGTTGCGTTCACACAAAATAGAAGTGCATCTCGGGAGAGCAATTAGGCAGCTGTCAAATCAGATTTGATGCTTCCAAATCACTCGAATGGGTATAGTGACAAGAAGTGCAGCAGTATCCTCTCGCTCTGATAATTGAAGGAAAGGGTCTGTTCGTCGTCCAGTTCCCCCACGTGAGCCCTCAATGCTCTTAAAAATATATATGTTTATATATATATATATATACACATATATATATATATTCTCTCTTCAAGTATCCCACATGTTTCCATTACAATATTTATTAACGAACATGACATTTTTCTTTCATGGCTTTCATTAATTGATTAAAGAAATGCCTTCACTTACTGTTGCCATCAATGAAAGCTTTGGTCCTGCATTTGGAAGATATAAAGTACATTTATGGCACAGCTGTACGTTTTATGAAACGCTAATTAATATTTTTTCAAAATAGCCTTCTAATGTATGTATGTTTGAATTTCTTGAGACTCAAATATTTAGATTCAGAATAACCAAATATTTATAAAATTTTTCTGACCTTGAAGCCTATGATCTTATATATTGGGTGGCGAGTTCGCTATGGTAACCAAGCTTTGATTTTGATAAATATTTGAAGGGGAAGCTTACTCTCAGTTGTTTAGCGTTATTGCTTTTTGCCTTCCAAACAGAAATCCTCATCCAAGAACAAACTTCAACATTATTTGCTGATTTTCATATTATGACTTGTGACCACTATACATTAGAGATATACTTCTCTCATATTATTACATATTCACAAGCAGTGAAGATGAAACTTAGGAGCACCAATGAATAAAAGTCTGCAATAAAAAGAGCTGAATATCACATATTCACAAGCACTGAAGATGAAACTTAGAAGCCCCAAATTCCATTTAGAATAGATCGAAATCTGTTTCCGGTTATCCTCTTCAGAATCTTTTTTGCATCCGTCATATTAATCTCTGCAAGCTTTTCCAAATTCCTCACATAAGCTGAACTCGCAACCCTTCTCCTCCCACTATTGCAATCAGTCAAGGAGATCAGAGCTGTGAGCAAAAGGCCTCTTAGCACTGACTTTTCTTCCTCTGGATTTAACAGCTGCAGAACTGTGTCAACGTTCTGTTCTGCTTGAATGAACCTTTTTCTATTCTTCTGAACCAGCACTAAACTACAAAGAGTTTCAGCTGCAGTCTCGCTCACCTCAGAAGATCTGTTTTCAATCATTCGAACCAGTTCTGTCATGAAGCCCATTTCACCCATTGTATTCTTAGCCTCTTCAGAGACTCTACAGAATACAGAAACAGTTTTCAGTGCCGATTCTTGGTCCAAGATCTCTCCATGTTTCAGATGGAAGAGAACTTGGTCAAGGAATCCTGAATCCAGAAGATAGTTCACAGCATTAGTGGATGATAAGCAGAATCCTTCGATTGCTCGAAGGCTGATCTCCCTAACCTTAGATGAATAAATAGAGTTGGGATTTAGGACAGTCAGGAGAGACTCAACAACTTCTTCTTTCTGTCTCACTACTTCACCATGTATGATTATTTCATCTTCTGAATCTAGGGATAACTTGTACAAAAACTCCATGGCCAGAGTTTGTAGCAATTCTTCCTTTGATTTCAAAAGCTTAAGAAAAACTGAAATTGCCCCTTCTTCCACCATGAACATCTTAATCTCAACGACACAACTTATGTTCCTCAGCACCCCACAAGCCAAACTTATCAGCTTGCAAGAGCTAGTTTCTTCATTGCAAATCTTGAGCAGTTCTGTGACTCCACCATTTGAAGACAGCAGCCACGCGTTGTTACAATTCTCAGTCATTTGCTTCAGAACTTGAGCAGCTCTTTCTTTTCCCAATTCACTTCCACAGCGCAGAACTGGAATCAAGGGTGGAACAACCCCGGCCATCACCAACATTGTTCTATTTGAATCAACGCTAGAAACAACCACGACGGCTTCCAAAATCTCTTCTTGAATCGTGAGGTCTCTTAATTTAAGAAGATTAACAAGAGTGCTTGCTCTGTTAGCCATCTCAGCGGCTACAATTCTAGCATACTTGCCATCCTCTTTAAGGACCTCGTTGAGGGCACTAAGTGCTCCAGCTCTTATCTCCTTGTCTCCAATCTTGAGCCTGGAGAAGATGTCCTTTACAGAGAATTCCATAATCTCTCTGGTTGCTCCAGCCCCTGGCTTAGATAGAATTATAGCCTTGGCGTTCAACGGAACACCAGAAGGAAAGATTTCATCAATGTGCTTGACGTGGAGCTGGATTTTCGTGGCGATGACATCGAGATCACTCTTCATGAGAAGCTTACCACCATTGTATGATTCATCACTGCAACGCAAAGCAAGACTCTCAGTGTCCTTTGCTGTGACAGAGATGACTTGTACCAGCTCTATGAAAGAGGAATTCCTTGCAGAATCAGCATTGTTTGAGACAGACGTTAGGCAGGAGTGGAGGTGCTCAAGCATGATCCTGATAGATTGCCATTTGACAGGGAAGGATTGAATAGTAGATGAGGAGGATAACGAAGAGCTTATGAGGGTTGAAGCTTGCTGTATGGCTGTTTTTGCTTCTTCTGCATTCATGTTTCGAAATATGGAGAATAAAGCATACGATGGTTAGTGTTGAGAGTTCTGCAGAAAATCAAGTTATGGAATTCGGATAGGATATGGTTGGAGAAGAAGAGACGATGAAGGAGGCGGCTATCTTAGGTAAGTGAGCATTTACTTTTTTAGTTTTTTTTTCCGGATCTCTCTGTCTACATCCTCTCAGAGGTATCAGACAGGTGTGAGTGACTGAGTTCTGACAATTTTGGGATCTGAAAATGACAGAAGGGTGCATTCACAATGTAAAAACTCTTGAATATCACAAAAAAAAAGATTTGGGATGATTCCAAGATAAAAAGAGAAAACGGGGCATTTACATACATATCATCAAATTCCTATGTATCTTCATATCTAATGCCTAAATTTTTCTCTTTACATTTGTACCACCCAAATATTTTATGTCACATAAAAAATACCACCATCTTAACTTGAAAAAAATGAAATGTATAAGGTTTTATGTATGTAAAAATTAATTTTTAGGCGTTAGATATGTAAATATATGAAAATTTAGTTGTAGAATCTTACACCCAAAAAAGAAAGTACAGAGAGCCTAAGATTCTAAGAAGAACTCATCATCATGAGAATTATCCTAATTACTTGAAGTCAGCTTTAGATATATATATATATATATATATTAACTTAGTATCAACTTAATATCGCCTATGGTTCCTTACGTCAATATTCATTACATGCTAGTCTATCTTTATAAAAGAGGGTGCAATTACTTTTGTATTTATGACTTTTTTTAATTGTAATTAGGGGTAATTTAGTCTTTTGAATTTATTTACTTGTATGCTCGAATTCTTCTCTATAAAAGTAACTTAGGGTTCATGAGAGGTGTGGTGAGAAATGCAGAAGTTGTAACCCTTAGCCCATTTTTCTTTCTCCTTCCTCCCGGTGGACGTAGGCGAACCAATTCAATGCCGAATCACTAAAATCTTGTGTTTGATTGTTGTTGTGTGAATTTTTGGTTTCTGTATTGTTTTCGCATTGCAATTTACAAATGATATCGGAGCTTCAGGTTTGTGATCAGAGTGTGGTTCGACTTCGACAACAATAAATTTGGCATGTGTTGATGGCGTTTTTTGCAGCAGGCTGTCCAACATGCTTTGTCGGTAGATTCAGAGGTTCGACGACAAATCAATGGCAGGCCGGTAGCTTGGATGCAAAGATCTAGATAGCAGGCATAGTAGCGGCTCGAGGAGGATGGGTGGTGAGCTTTGTTCCAGCAGCAGAGGTTCCGTTGGTAGTCTGGCTTGGTTTGGCGAAACAATTGGCCTAGCGACAATAAATGTGGTTTGGCGCGGTCAGGCAGAAGCTTCGCGTGGAACAGGAAAAAAAAAAACTTTTTAAAAAGAGGAAAGAGGAAAATGTTTTTTAGGGAATTTCTGTTTTGTGTTAAGACATTCCGGCAAAGAAAAAAAAAATGAAAACTTTTATTTTTTGTTCCTTTCAGGTAAAGATTTTTTTTTTCTCTTTTCAGGTTTCCAAAATAAGAGGAAAGAATATTCTACGAAATATTTATTCTATCAGATTTTTTTTTTTTAATTTAAGGAAGAGATTCCAATAGTAATATTAATGAGTGATAGTATGATGTCAGGTTCTCTAATGTTCATTATAACAGTGAAAAAAATTGATTTATGAGGTGTTTACTCATCCCGTCAAAATTGATGTGGTGAAATTCGACGGCGAATGAAACTTTGGCATGTGGCGATGCAGGATGATAGATGTGTTGTCTTTTGAATATGGAGAAAGTCCTGGATAGAGATGAACATCTTGAAGAGATGCCAGAGAGATTGGTTGAATATGAATCAGAGGGCTTATGACTTGATCTGAAATTGCTTGATTCAACAGATCAAATATGGAGTGATGATGAAGTCTTCTGCAATGAATTATGGAGGATGCCGGAAAACAAATATTTCACCAATTACGTGGAGAACAATCTCCATATAAAGCGTTGACTATACAGATATCAAATGAGACAAGGGTTTACTTTTGATGAATACTTGAACGACTTTACAAATCTATTAACAGGTCTATTAAATTTGAATGAGGAGGTCAGAGATAAAGAAAAGATACTCATTCTATTGAATTCACTCCCAGAGTACGAAATCTTCACGATGACACTCATTTATGGTAATGAGGTTTTAAATTATAATGAAGTAACCACAACAGTGTTGAATCATACTTTTCGTCAAATAGATAAGGAGTCCGTAAAGATGGAGTGAACTAAGGCACTTATGCTCTAATGTGACAAATTTGAAAAGAAGAAGAATTCAACAAAGAAAGGTGACAACGACGATACTTCTCAAAAGTGAGGCAAGTCTCATCGCCGCAATCTTAGAAAAAATCAGTGTTTTCTGTTTAGAAATTGGTCATTGAAAGAAAGATTATTCGAAGCTGAAGATGAAGGAAAAGGAAGTTACATCTGGACAAAAGCCAATATTATTGTGGAAAGATGTGAAGAGATAGATTCAGATGTATTATTTTTTGCAGTTTCTCATATTTTGTTTACATACAATTCATGCTAGATTTTGGACACGTGCTACCTATCACATTTGTTCTCATGGAGGGTGGTTCTATACGTACAAGAAGTTGGATAGCGGTGTGATGACTCTGAGCAACGATCAAGCTTTTCATATTATTGGTGTAGGGAGTCTCTTTATCAGGATGCATTGCGATATTACGAGGGAGTTGGCCTATGTTAAACATGTTCTAGATATCAAGAAGAATATGATGTCAGGTGGGGCTTTATAGTCTAGGGCTACAAAGTAGTTATTGAGGCATGAGTTATGAGGATCTGTCTTGGAACACTGTTTTTTATAAAGGGAGTTATCCATCACAATCTTTACTATCTTCAAGGTACTACAGTGAATGGAACCACTGTTGTTGCTGATGATTCTTCTGACATTATTATGTTGTGGCATATGCAAGTAACTCATGTTGGAGATGCTTTACTTCAAACTTTGTTTAAATAAAGATTGATCAAAAGAGTAAGCACCTGCAAGCTTGATTTCTATGAACATTGTGTGTTTGGTAAGAAGACTGATGTCTTTTGGTGTTGTCATCCACAATACAAAAAGTTATCTAGAGTATATTTACACATGTAAAGATGCCCTAAAAAAACTTGAAGTGAAGCGCAACAAAAAAATCCTTCGGTTAGAAAAAAAAAATCCTTCTAAAAAAAAAACAATTGGGTCATATTTGCAAGTATATTTATGGATTTACTTACCAAAATAACAACTTGTGGGTCACACGCCCTTCGAAAATCACACTCTAATCTTCGTCGTTTAACTGGGAGGTAGGCAGGCATGTGAACCTCTAGAATGAGATAATATCGACAAGCAAAAATAAAATAATTGAACATTAAAAGAGATAAAATGTTAAAGCTTAACATTTGTATAACCGTGGAATCTCAACCGTGGGGTAGAAAATCAGCCGAATAGCAAACCTTGGTAAAACCGTTAATAGATGATATTCTCAGAGTGTGGAACATCGAATTAACCTCAGACGCCAAAAGTCTCAGTATCTGTACTTGTTATATTCATTTTTTTCTCGAAGAATAAAGGTCCGGAAGCGCAATTTCTCTCTCATTTTAAGAAAAAAAAAATATATTTTTAGAATAAAATAATAATAACAAATGATCGACACATGATATTTAGGGATGATTTGAGCAGCTACGTGCATTATCCACGTAATAATTTTTCCTAAACGTTGGCTGCTGGGAAGTGATTTTATTGCTTCGTCAAATCAAATACGTTGTACGGGAGTGTATCTCTGTTTCATTAGTTCCACGGAGGCAGCATTATTGAAAAATTTATTGATGGAATTTATGATGATAATTTTAATTATGGTGTAATTAAGATTAATGCGGTATAAAAATTGTTTTAAATTGGAGGTTGTCATTAGGGGTGTAAACGAGCCGAAGGCTCTCCTCGTTTTCGGCTCGTTTATATTTCGAGCTCAAAAAAGGTGTTTGTGTTCGGCTCGTTTGCTTAGTGAGCAGTTCACAAAAAAAAGTTGTTTTGACAACCCTAATCTCGTAGCCATAAAATATTAAGAATTGAGGTAAGATTTAAAATATCATTGGAATCTAATTTAATAATTTTTATTCTATTTTCTTAATTAATACTTTAATTGATTATAAATCTTTGTAGCCTTTTAGTCAAATAAAATTTTTAAAAATATTACTCATCATATATATATATAATTGATTAGTAGTATTTATAATTGATTAGTATATATATAAAACATTTGTGATTGATTCACAAACAACGAGCCGTTTGACTGCCCTAGTTGACATTATTCTTTTAACAAATTAATTGTCTATTACTGTCTAAATTACTCTTTGCTTATAGAGTATAAAGTTAAATAAAGGGAATATTTACAAAATTACTCCTTAATTCGTATGTATATTTACATGTCTACCACTTAGACTTTAATGTTTACATATTTGCCATTTTATCTGTGCATGAAAAAAATGTAGTTCATTTTTTTTTCTAAGGTAAAATATGTTATTTTTTGACGTGATATATGATATTTGAGTATTATAAATATAAAAGTAAATTAAATATGTCAATACATAAGGATTTGGTGGTATGAATGTAAAAACCCGACAGTGGGCACATGTTCAATGAGGCCCCCCTAACCTGGTCATCCTGATAAAAATTAACAACTAATTAGACCCAAAGTTTATAAAATTTAAATAAATAAATAATTAGTTAAATTCTAGATAAAAAAAAATTAAGTAATTACATCTTTGAGAAACCAAAATTCCTAAATTACAAGCCAAAGTCATTTGAGATTTTTCTTGAAAGGATTTGACCTCAACTCTAAATCTTCTACAGATTTTGATAATTTCTGGAAATTAAATGAACTTTTAAAAAATTAATTATATTATTTTATTAAGAAAATTCTTAAAAACTTCAACTTAATTCTAAAAAAATATCAAAATTTTACCATAAATCTCTTACGTGGTCCTCTACCTCTAAGAAAAATTTCCATTAAATTTATAATTCATTTTTTTGAGAAATATCAATTTATATTGAAATGATTTTGATAATAGCTTCCATTTCTCTTTAGAATTTAATTAAAATCTATAAACAAACTCTATAAATACCGAACATTAGTGTTATTTATGACTCATATATCAGATAAGATGCAGACGCTAGAGCGAAGCTCACAAGCAGAATCATCTGCCCAATTGGGGGAGTACTTTTAAGTGGGTTGGGAGTGCGGTAATATATA